GGATACTTATATGTGGGCGTATCTGCATGTGGGTGGATCCGCCTGGAGATGGAGAGAGGAGCGGTGTCTCGGTTCCTAAGACCTTTGGAAATATGTGTTTTCCAGTGGTTTTAGGCGACCCCTGTGAAAGGGTCATTCGACCCCCAAAAGGTCATGACCCACAGGTTGAAAACTGCTGTTCTGTAAGATCAGTTAGGGTACAGGGAATTATTTAATATGGCTCTTCTAGTCAGTCTTTGTAACTTCCACCAAATTGATTGTATGGCACTATATACATAAGGTGCCTATATCCCACCTACGAGATAAGATAATTTGCTAATAATGCAAATAAGGTACATGATACTTGTGGAGATGGAACCATGTAAATGAGGTGGATGGATTGATTGATCAGTTTTGACATCCTGCTAGGCTTAAAATCAGCCATCCCAAAATCTGAAAAGGAGAATTTCACATTCACCTAGAAGAAGAGATGAGAGCAAGTGAGTTTGGGCCTATGCAGAGAATCTCTTCCACCCAGAAGACAACAATATTTGAATAATTGGCCTACTGGAACAAGACACAGGGGAGAAGTCGACAGCTGGGTTAACAAGGGAATTTCTAGAAGCAAACGTTCCCACCTTAATGAGTGAGAATCAGACACTCATACAGGAAGCAGAGAGGATACCCGTTAGACAAAACGTGATCCCCTATGTTGAAAATCCTACAAAATCTACACACTATTAAAACTATCACATGAATTAAACAATGTCATAGCTTATAAGACCACTATACAACCATCAATTGTATTTCTATATACATTTTCACTATAACACTTTATTTTGAGGAAAACTGCCCTTTGAAGTTTTCTGTTGAGATCTTTTACTTCATTTCTCCTACTTATCTTAGCTACTTTATGACTAAGAGCAAGTTTCGGAGTGCATTTGACATTCGCTTTGTTTTTTTCCTGTTATTTTTAGTGACCATTCCCCACCCCTCCCCCCATGTATGTTCTTGATATCATCTCAGCTTGTCAGGTCTTCTGTCAATAGTGCGCAATGATTCAAATCTATGCTTGAGATGTAGATGGGATATATTCGAGGTCGTATTGTCGCTATCATAGACTTGTTTTAATTTTCGTCAAGTTCAACCTGTTCTACCGTGAGACCTGGTCTTGTTTTAGCTGGTGAGATAGCTTCTCTATCATCTCTTTCCACAGATGTAGTCAATTTTATTTCTGTGTATTCCATCTGGAGAAGTCCACGTGTATAGTCACTGTTTGTGTTGTTGGAAAACGTATTTGCAATGACGAAATCATTGGTCTAGCAAAATTCTATAATGTGATCTCCAGTTTCTTTCTGTCACCAAGGCCATTCCAACTATGTTCCTTCCTCTGTTTTTATATTTTGCATTGAAATTGCCAATCATTATCAATGCATCTTGATTGCAGGCAAAGACCTAGGGCTAGAAAGCCAAAAGGGAAGAACACACTCAGCACATCTTAAACTGAATGGACTTAAGAAAAGAGTCAAGCCTCAAGTTGCAATACTAAAGATTCTGTGGACCAATGAAGAAAGTGTCAACAGAAGATGGAACAAATACACAGTCACTGTAACAAAAAGAGGTAGCATATGATAAAGAACCAATGGCACTGAGGGAAGAAGTCCAAAGCACTGAAGACATTATAGCCAACACCCCCCCTTCCCCCCAAAAAATCACCCACTCCAATAATTGATGGAATATCCATCCACCTGTTTCAACAAGCACTGGAAGCACACACTTGTCTATGCCAAAAAATTTAGAAGATAGACACCCGGCCAACTGGCTGGAAAAGATCCGTATTTGTATCCATTTCAAGAAAGGAGACTCAAAAGAATGCACAAATTGCAGAACCCTATCATTGATACCAGAAACCCTGGTAGTGCAGTGGTTATGTGTTGGGCTGTGATCTGCATGGTCAGCAGTTTGAAACCACCAACAAATAGCTCTACGGGAGAAAGAGTAGGTGTTCTATTTCCATAAACAGTTGGTCTCAGAAACCCACAGGAGGTCACTAGGAGTCAGCATTGACTCGATGGTAGTGAGTTTCATCAATGATACCACATGCAAGTAAAATTCTGTTGAAGATCACTTAACGATGGTTCCAACAGTACATTGACAGGATGGGTTCAGAAGAGGATGTGGAACAGGATCTTGGGGGAAGATTGAGAACACCAGAAAGATGTTCACTTGTGTTTTATTGTCTATGCAAAGGCATTCAACTATGTGGATCATAACTAAGAAGATTGAGAATTCCAGGACATTTTATGGTGTTCATGCGGATGCTCTACATGGAGCAAGAGGCAGTTGTGCAAATAGAAAAAGGGAATGCAGTATGTTTAAAATCAGGAAAGGTGTGTGCCGGGCTTGTATCCTCTCACCATATTCATTCAATCTGTATGCTGAGCACATAATCAAAGAAGCTGGACTATGTGAAGAAGGAAGCTTATTAACAACCTTCAATATGCAGATAACACAATTCTGCTTGCTGAGAGTGAGGACTTGAACCACTTGCTGAAGAAGATCAAGGATTGCAACCTTCAATGTGGATTGCAACTTAATGTAAAGGAAAAGAAATCCTCCCAACTGGACCAGTAGGGAGCATGATAAATGGAGACAAGATTGACGTTGTCAAGGACTTCATCTTGCTTGGATTCACAATCAATGCACATAGAAGCAGCAGTCAAGATTTGGGCAAATATGCTGTACAAGACCCCTTTAAAGTGTTGAAAAGAAAAGAATGTTACTTTGAGGCCTAAGGTGCTCCCACCCAAGCCATGGCATTTTCAACTGCCTCATAGGCATGTGAAAGTTGGACATTGGAAAAAGGAAGACTAAAGAAGAATCAATGCACTTGAATTATGGTGGAGGTAAGAAACATTGAAAAGTACCATGGATTGCCAATAAACAGACCTGTCTTGTAAGGAGTAAAGCCAGAGAGCTCCTTAAAAACAGGATAACAAGACTCATGAACTTTGGACACGTTATTAAGAGAGACCAATACTTGGAAGAGGGCATCAGGCTTGGTAAAGTCGAGGGGCAATGGAAAAGAACAAGACACTAGGAAAGACTGACAGGGTGGCTGTAAGCATGGCCTCAAACACAGTACACGTGAGGATGGCACAGAACGAGTAGTGCTGTGTTTTGGTTGTACATCACTAAGATCACTAGGAATCCTAATACCACTATCAGTAATAATCCAAAAATAAAGTAAGTTTTTTCCTTTACAATATTTAAAAAGCATAAAACACAAATTACTTAACAATAGAAGCACAAGATTTGTATACTAAAACCTACAAAGCATTGAAGAAAATTGAAGACTATCTAAACAAATGGAGATGTTCTATATCCTGAATGATTCAAAACTAGTACAATAATTCTTCCCAAGTTTATCTATCAATGTTATCCTTATAAACATTCTAGCACGCCATTTTTCTTTCCAGAAACGGACAAGCTCATCCTAAAATGTTTAAGGAACTACAGGGGATTCTGAAATACTTACTTACATTTCCTGGCTTTGAATGTAGATTTGAGGTGAAGGAGAAAGACTTGTTCCTATAAATATTTGCTGCCTTGGAAACCCACACAAGGTCACTTATAGAAAATGAGTCGACAGCAATGGGTTTGGTTTTTAATTGGGGGGACAGGGTTGGGAGAGGGTACTGACTACTAATGGGCAGGAGAATTTTGTGACAATGATGTAAATATTCTAAACTTGGATTGTAATGATGATTACACAACTCTAAAAATTGAATAAAAGTCACTAAATTGTACCCTTGACATGGCTACATGTTGTGGTATAGAAAGTATATGTCAATAAAGCTTTCAAATAACGTACAAACAGATATTCATAAGAACTTTAATCATTTCCAGCCCAAGCTGGGAACCAGCTCAGATGTCCTTCAACAACAACAAAAGAAAGGAGATGGGAGGAAACGAGAAAGAAGACTTCTAAAAACAGGAGGGAAAATAACATAGTGATAAGTTGATAAGAGACAATGATTAGTGAGACAAGCTACCATTATTGCAGAAGCCCAAATGAGGGTCTACATTAAGTAGAGATGAAAAAGTATAAATGCATAAAGGAGAAAACGGAATGATTAAGAGGTCCACAAAAAAAAATGTTTGAGCAGTCAAGTCAGTGTCTCCTTCCTGTCTATTAAAATTTGATTTTATAAATGTCAACCAATAGGAATTTTCTTGTAAATTCCTGGATCCTCTGAATTTAAGCTCTGCATAAATTTCCCCTCACTATACTACCATGTGAATCCTCACAAGGTATTGCCCAGTCCTGGGTTGTTTCATTCCTTCAATAAACTCTACTTAAAAAAAAAAGAGGTCCATGACAATTACTAATAATAACAAAAACTGTTTAATTAGCATTTTTATGTACCAAGTATTATATTAAACACATTATGATGCTTACTGTGATAATCCTATAAGGCAGGCACTCTATTAAAGGGGGGGCACTGAGGTTAGAGAGATCAATATAAATTTATACAGTTATAGACCTAGAAAATAGAACAACTAGTGTGCATCCATGAATGTAAGTTTTGCAACTAGGGAGCCAGAGATTGCAGGAAGAAATGCCAAGTAGTTATGAAGTCATACGTATTTTGTTTGTTCTCCCAATAATGAATAATTTGAGCAACTCTGTGATCTCAGTAATTATCCTACTTTAGGACAGGAAAAGCAATCATATCCACAGGAAGACAATATATTTTTAAAGGACGTGATTAAAAGAGCCCTGTTGGTGCAGTTAGTACTGGGCTACAAACCGCAAGGGGGGCTGCCTGCTCCTGTAAAGAATTACAGCTTCAGAAAACTTTCAGAAAGTCACTAGAAATAGGAATTGACTCGAAGGCATTGGTTGGTTTAAAATATGTGTGGAAGTCCACGTTTCTTATAATTTTATGTGTAATTACTAAACATATTAAGTGGGATTTTCTCCCCCAGTTCCAAAAGCATTTAGTATAATTATTTACCTTTCTTCCACATGGTTTCTCTACCATATTGCTGTCACTGTCAGAATTTTCACTCTGAACTGGTTTTGTGACCCCAGATTTGGGCATCTTATAGTTGCTCAACTACTTTCTTCTTGTATCAATCTTCTCATTCTGGATCTGTAAAAAATAAATATACAAGGTTTATCTGTGTGTATATATATGCGTGTGAGTATTAGAATCTACTTTAAAAAAAAGAATATACTTATAAAAATAATTTTCTTAGGGGCTCATACAACTCTTTCACAATTCATACATACATCAATTGTGTAAAGCACATTTGTACATTCATTGCTCTCATAATTCTCAGAACACTTGCTCTTCACTTAAGCCCCTGGTATCAGCTCATTTTTATCCTCCCTCCCTGCTCCCCCCTTCCTCATGAACCCTTGATAATTTATAAATTATTATTTTGTCATATCTTGCACTGTCTGCCGTCTCTCTTCACCCACTTTTCTGTTGTCTGTCCCCCAGGGAGGAAGTTATATGTAGATGCTTATAATCGGTTCCCCCTTTCCACCCCACCCTCCTGGTATCGCCACTCTCACCACTGGTCCTGAAGGGATTATCTGCCCTAGATTCCGTTTCCAGTTCCTATCTGTACCAGTGTACATCCTCTGGTCTAGCCAGATTTGTAAGGTAGAATTGGGATCATGATAGTGGGGGG